TATGAGGTAGACAATCATTAACAGTGCGAGACCCTTGCATTTAATATATCAGAAGAGATTGGCATAATATCTAACAAGACTTCAATACACATCTGTTTTGGTGCAGAAATGTCCTACTATATTAAAGAGATTTCTTGAGAAACTGTTCAATACTGAACAAACTTACCCCTAATTCATCTAAAAACATAATCATTCGATGCTTGTTGTTCTTGATGAATGGATTTACGCCTTCCATGTAGGGTTCCTGTGACAGAAAAATTACAATGTATGATCTGTATTTGTATTTTCTGTATCAGAATTATTGATTGTTCTATTCAAACTCCACATATTTAACTGTCCTGCTAACCTTCTGCTTCTGACAATTTAAAGAGCTACAAGTCAAGAAAAAAATATTCACTACAAACTTGAACACACAGTCCACAGAATTATCAACACAAGAATGCATTAATCATGAAGTCAAAACTCAATGTCACGGAGTTCAAATGTAATTTCACAAGAGCCAGAGTGGAGCAAGAGACCTGTGGAAGAGCATCATAAAACATTTTTTTGAAGAAGGGAAGCTCTTTTCCTACCTTATTGAAATGTATCCAACATTTCATTTAATTTCAGCAACCATTCAATAATAATCTTGCACTGTATACATCACAATCTTATTTACTCATCAGCTATGTCTATTCTGACAAGGTGCTATCAAAGATATAAAACTGAACCAAATAGGTTCAGACAAACTTAATTGTACATTGACAACAGCATAAATATTTGCTGTTACCTTGGCTCCAATTCACCCAAGTTTGCTAAGTTTGAAGTGACTTAGCAACAAGTGTAAGAGTCCTTGCAGCTGTGGAAGAGGGGGGATCTGTAAGGTAGGAAATAAAAAAAAATTGTCAATCATCACACTTCAATATAATACTGTTGAGTGGCACAGTACAACCCTGTTATAGGCTGCAGTTGGGTTCCATAAAATTCCAACCTGCCTTATAACAGGGTGCTGCATTGATCAATGCAACGCAGAAAGTGGTTGGCTTCTTGCATGAAAAAAAAACTTTGGGGCCATCGGGTCACCATCTACGTCACTTTCTGCAGACTTTGTATGTGCAGGAAGCTTCCTGCACGTAATTCCTATATATGGTCAGAAGGCAGATAATGAGCAGGAACTTGGCAACCCACAAGTCAAGACATTTGTTTACCATGCAGGTCCACAGCATACCTTCCTTGTAAGCATATTCTTATGACACTGGTTTGTTTATAACAGGGTTCCACCATATTCCGTGGAATTGTTTATGTTCCATGTTGGACAGATTTAAACAATAAGCCACAAGGAAGTAGAATACAGCACATTACTTAAAACACAGTAACGATGGCAGATTGACAGTTTCAATACGCTGATACAAAAGCTACCTACTTTCTTTAAAAAAGGGTATTCCAATGGTCTTTCCCTGCCCTGTTGTAGTCTTCTGAATAGGATTTAATACTCAAAAGAAAATCAACTTAGCATGGTAAGTAATGCAATACAGCCTTACTGTCAATTTCTTATAGGCAAAACAAAACAAAATAAAAATTTTGCTAACGGCATTTTGTTCTGTGTATGTTTCTTTGAACAAAAAGTTCTTTCCTTTCCTCCCCAATTCATTTCTTGCTAGAGACACTTCATGTACTTAAGTACATGCAGGCAAGTAAATGATTTCCAGACCACCATTGCTACTGCAGATAATATGCAACAGAGGGCAGTCACCAGTATTCCTTGCCTGCAACAGGTGCAGTTCCCTAAACCAGAACATAAGAATTAGGAGCATGAGTAGGCCTTCGGCCCTCCAGCCTGCCCCGCCATTCAATAAGATCATGGCTGATCTATTCTAACTCCACCTACCCACCATCCCCCTTAATCCATTTATCCACAAGAGATCTATCAATCTCAGTCTTGAACATGTTCAAGGACTGAACATCTACAGCCCTTTGGGGTAGAGAATTCTATAAATTCACTAACCTCGGAGTGAAGAAGTTTTTCCTCAACTCAGTGCGAAAGGGCTTACCTGAATTTTAAGACTGTGACCCTTGGTTATAGTTTTCCAACCAGGGGAAAAAGTCTCCACTATCTATTCTGTCGTATAGGTTTCTGTAAGATCACTTCTCATTCTTCTATATTCTAGAGAATATAGGCCAAATTGCTCAACCTATCCTCATAACTCATCCCCTCATCCATGGTACCAACTAGTAAATCTATGTTGTACCCCCTCCAAGGCGAATACATCCTTTCTTAAATAAGGAGACCAAAACTGCACACAATATTCTAGGTGCGGTCTCACCAGGGCCCTATACAGTTGCAAGACTTCCCTACTTTATATTCTAACCCTTTTGTAACAAATGCCAACATACCGGTAGCCTTCCTAATTACTTGCTGTACCTGTAAACTAACTTTTTGTGACTGGTGTACATGGACACCAAGTCCCTTTGAACGCTAACACTATCTAGTCTCTCCCCTTCTAAAAATAATCTGCTCTACTATTTTTGCCACTTCGGTGGATGACCTCACACTTCCCTACATTATAATTCATCTGCCACCTATTTGCCCATTCACTTAACTATCTATATCTTGTTGCAATTTTTTTAATGTCATCCTCGGTGTTTACTCTCCCTCCTAGTTTAGTGTCATCCGCGTATTTGGATATATTAAGTTCGATGTCCTCATCTAGATCGTTTGATGTAGATTGTAAATAGTTTAGGCCCAAGTACTGATTCTTGTCACATCCCGCCAATCTGAGAAGGACCTGTTTATCCCTACTCTTTGTTTTCTTCCCGTTAGCCATTCTTCAATCCCTGCTAATATATACCCCTTAATTCCATGGGCCCTAATCTTGTGGACCAACCTTTTATGCAGCACGTTATTGAATGCCTTTTGGAAATCTACGCTAAATCCACTGATTCTCCCCATCTAATCTACTTGATATGTCCTCAAAAAAAAACTCTAAAAGATTTGTTAAGCATGACTTCCCTGTTGTAAAGCCATGTTGACTCTGTCTAATCGTATTGTGATCCTCTAAGTAACCCACTACGACATCCTTAATTAAGGATTCTAGAATTTTCCCTACCACCGATGTCAGACTAACTGGTCTATAGTTCCCCATCTTTTCTCTCCCACTTTTCTTAAATAGTGTTGTGACATTTGCAATCTTCCAATCAATGGGAACTGTACCAGAATCCAAAGAATTTTGGAAGATCAGACACAAGGCTTCCACTATCGCATGAGCTACCACTTTTAAAACCCTAAGATGCAGACCATCAGGTCCAGGGAACTTGTCACTTTTTAATAACATAAATGTAGGAACAGGAGTAGGCCATTCGGCCCTTCGACCCTGCCCCGCCATTCAATCATGGCTGATCTTCTAATCTAACTCCAGCTAATAACCCTGCCTTATCCCCATGTCCCTTAATCCCTTTTGCAATAAGAAATCTATCTATCTCAGTCTTGAATATGTTCAAGGACTGAGCGTCAACAGCCCTTTGGGGTAGTGAGTTCCATACATTCATCACGGTTTGAGTGAAGAATTCTTCCTCAACTCAGTGCGAATGGGCTGGCCTCTGATTTTAAGGTTGTGACCCCTGGTTTTAGTTTCTCCAACCAGGGGAAACAATCTCCCACTATCTACTCTATCACACCCTTTGATGATCTTATAGGTTTCTATAAGATCCCCTCTAATTCTTCTACATTCTAGAGAATATAGGCCCAAATTGGTCAGCCTATCCTCATAACTCATCCCCTTTATCCCTGGTACTAACCTAGTAAATCTATGCTGCACCCCCTCCAAGGCAAGTACATCCTTCCTTAAATAAGGAGACCAAAACTGCACAGTATTCCAGGTGTGGTCTCACCAGGGCCCTATACAGTTGCAGCAAGACTTCCCTACTCTTATACTCTAATCCTTTCATAATGAATGCTAACATACCGTTCGCCTTCTTAATTGCTGCTGCCCTGCAGACTAACTTTCTGTGATTGGTGTACAAGGACACCCAAGTCCCTCTGGACGCTAACACATTCCAATCTCTCCCCTTCTAAAAAATAACCCGTTCTACTGTTTTTGCTACCTAGGTGGATGACTTCGCACTTCCCTACATTATACTTCATCTGCCACCTTACCTGCCCAATCACCTAACCTAGCTATGTCTCACTGCATTTTTTTAATGTCGTCCTCTGTGTTGACACTTCCTCCTAGTTTTGTGTCATCCAGAATTCAATCATATTGTGATTAATGCCAACAATATCCCTAGCACCAATTCTTTGCTAATGTAAATTTCCCTAAGTTGCTCCCTATCATTAGCCCCATCTCTAAAGCAGTACAACTAAGTTCAGAAAAAAAGCAAAGTTGTAATTTACAATATCTTTCTAAAAGCTTTTCACAGTAATTCATCAACTTATAAACTAAAATGCTACCCCAAACTTATCCCATCCTGAAGAACTACATCACAATACAGACAACTTACCTACTTCTGCTTTTCAAATGTTATTTAGGAGTATCAATACTAGTCATTAGTCTTTTGTTGTACAATGGGTTAATGACACCCAGAGCAACATCATAAAGTGTCAAGCAACCATCAGTACTTCCTTTATTCTTGGATAATTGTGGCAAGCTAGACTATTATTAGCACATTTTAGGATTAAAATCTGCAACTTTTCCTTTTTTCTTTTCCATGAACTGTAATAATTCTGTGGTCTAAATACATCATTGCCAGGATGAGAAACTTGGTCAAGCTCTGAACACTAGCTTTAATTATGCAATAGTATACAAAGGCTCACTACCATTGAATTTGGTCACACTAGCAACTTCTCCAGCACCCTTCACGTGGGGTAGCTTACTGCATTCTGCAACTTCATCCATCCAGTCAAATACACAAATTTGATTTTAAGAAAATTCACCGGTTTTATAACGAATAGAAATTCACAGATAGTCAGATTACTGACCTTTTGAAGTGTGACGATGTGCAAGCTTGTACAAAGCATGACTCACCTGAAATAATATTGAACAACCGTGGATTGAGAATGGCTGGACAGATCAACCGCAAGAAAACAAATCCACTGGAGGAGGGGGGGGGGAAAAAAAACACATGCATCTATCATGTACGCTATTCATAAAAATTCCTCAATCCCCTCAATATATGTAGCACTAACTGAAATGTAATTTTCCAAAGTTCAATAATATAATAATATTGCACACTCAATTTTTGACAAAAGTGAAGAAAACCCTCTTAAGGTAGGCACTCTTTCTTCAAACTTGAGCATCTCCAACATAGTAAGCAGGAAGAATTCCAATTAATTCTGCCCTTCCTGCACATATGTAAAGGATGCCGCTCCTAGGCATAATGTATTAATTGAAGTGATATTTATATTTATTGTAATGCATGAAATAGTTATGGAAATGGTCACTATTTAAGACTCATCTTTTTGATCTTGTTTTCAATCATCTCTTCCCCCAGTCAGTGGAGTTGACCATTTTTCTTTTAGCAAGTGAAATACCCTGAGCCTAGGGTGGCCAGCTGAGTGCAGTGAAAAGATAAGCACAGTAAAAAGATCCATCATGCCTCACGGGATTTTATGGATCTGAACGGGTTATAATGGGGATCTACTATATAGAATGAAAATGGATTCACAAAATATTTTACCTCACCACTCTAGTCCTCATAGTAGGATTTTTCGGCCACTTCTGCTGAACAGATTTTTGTAAGCACCCATAAATATACCGCAAAGCCCTGTTAAAAATACAATTAGCATTAGAATAATTCACAGGAACATTAATAGTCCAAAAAGGTATCAAGTCTTCTTAATAATCTAAAAGAGTTTGAGACGGTGTATCTCCTTGAAATTACACACTTCACACTGAAATTATACAAAATGTCCTAATGCATATACTCTGTAGATTATTAGCCAAAGATATCAGTCGATGGAGCAATGCACTTCCTTCTTTCCTTGCTGAGTAGATCAGCTAGAGCTGATCTTCTACACTGGATGTTGTTTCAGTGAAGATAAATATCAAGTGTGTCAATCAGCACAGATGAAGACTTAATAGAAAGTTATTCACTTTAACCACATATGGGTAACGACCAAAAGAATGCTCCCCAGTTAAGCATGCTTTATTTATTTAGTCTCCTGTGGATGATTACGAGCCACCTTTCCACTATTCTGGGTCATTAGGTTGCATTGCCTTTGCTTCCTACACATTGCTAAGGGCAGGAAACTTTGCTGATGTCACTGTCTGTACACTGCATATGCAGAAAATATCCTCGACATCACTTCAGAAAGAAAATGGTGTAAGCAGCGCTTCTTACACATAACATACAGGAAATGGCCTCAGTAATGCATTGTTTGCAATATTCAGGAAATGGGTCAACAGTGATCTGATGACCTGGTAATGTGACTGAATGTCAACGCTTTTTGCAGAACCTTTAGAACATGGTTTCTAATTGTTTGGAATTATAACAGGGTTAAACTGTATTTTAGTTGACAGGAACATTTTACAGAGTTGAAATGCTTCTGTCAACCTCACTCTTACCCTGCACATTTAGAAGGTTAATTTATGCTCAACACAAGATGTATATTACTTTCATAACTTACTGAGGAAGTTCTTCTGCAGCCATAAAAATCTTCTCCACCAATTCTGACAGGAGAGCCAGTAGGTGTAACAGATTAGCGTTCACATCTTCATTTTTCTCAAGTTTGGAAGGATTTAACTGTAAATCAATCAGAGGTTCAATTGCATTCCTCTAATCTCCCTTAGCTTAGCATACATTTAGATGTATATTAAAAGGATCTCCAAACGCAACCTTTTCATAATGCAAAGTACGAAATTATAGAAAATCATACCAAAATATTCTAACCATCAGAAAATATAGTTTGCTTTAATTTGATTAAACTCACTTCAGGAACAGTTCAGAGGAATTAATGCATGGTTATGAATTGATAGGAATGTTTTGCATTATACCGAATGTTTCACACCGGTTTATCTTCCTCCTTTACATGCATCTTTCTTCAACCTTCAGTTACATTCACGGTGGAACACCATCTCTAATCCATTACCTTTACTAGTTAAAATTAGGTTTTGCACAAACAGTGTGTAATGCATTATCAAAATCAAATGGAGACAGTTCTTTCATTTGGGATCTGTAATAATTTAGATTAAATCCAAGATAAATTCAGCTGTAATGTTTCTTCAATTTATCATTTATTAAATGATGGGAGAAGCCTAAAGCATTCTGAAATGCAGAGAGAAATCTGTATAATCAATTCCAAATGATTTTCACTAAATGTTTAAATTCACTTGACCCTAGACAACTCTAAATCTTTATCATAGTGGAGCTTATACTTTACCTCACACGACTGCTTGCTCTCCATTATCTTTAAGATGGTGTCTGTCAGAGCATGATGAATAAATGGTGTTGCAGTAGATTTCATGTACTGCTCCATAAGTGTGCTCGTCAAGGTTGTGGCTCGGAAGAGGGTGGTGGATTCATCTGAAGAGGTCATAAACAACTTGCAATAAAGTAACTGTAAAGTAACTCATAAAGTAACTGCTACATAGATAACTTCTTAGAGCATTTCCAAAGGATGGGATTGTGAGGGAGTAAGCTACCCACCACCTGATTCAGTGTATAGAGCAAGCCATCCTCATGAAATCCACCATTATTTAAAACAGATGAATGCAGCAAAAGAAGCATTTACTTTCAGTTTACCAAAAATCACAAGGTATATATAGCCTCTCTATAATCCTTGCATATTCTTCAGTAATAGTAGGCAAAAACAACAATAAATTGCATGTATATAGTGCCTTTCATGTCGGGAAAACGTTTTAAGTTGCTAGACAGTGAAGGGTTTGAAGCTCAAGTTTTCCATAATTATTCTATCATTATCTAATAATGCATTCACTTGCAACACAGGTTCACTAATGTTGATTAACTCAGGAGCTAGAGGACTGGAACCACTGCACCATAAAGGATATATTCCTACAGATGTATATTTTGATGCAAAATACTTGCATGTTTAGGAACTTAATTATTTGTCTTTTACAGCCCCAAATTTGGCAACTTATTGAAAAAGCATGCCACAACGCTCTTTCACAGGCTTCCCTGTGCAGTACATACTATGTAACAGAGCTCAAAAATAATAAAATTATGTTTTGAATGATGTAATACTTTAAAATTTTATTTTCTTAACACAATTTCTTGGCTTGCAAAAAATGTGGCCTATAATAATAATCCTTGCATTTGATATAGCACTTTCCACGTCTTCTGGATATCAGCGTTTCATAGAATACTGTAAAGTGAATTGACTGCATATTTGTGGGCAAAATGCAGCAGCCAATTGCGCACAGCAGTGTCCCACAAACAGTCGTGGATTGAAGTGACCAATTTATTATTTTTTTTCTTGAGGGATTATTATTAGGTGTGTGGAGTAAGGAAACTTGCCTAAGGTTTCGCTCTGCCGGGAATCGAACCCAGGTCTCTTGCTTGAGAGGCGAGTGCTCTAACCACTGAGCTATAGGACTCCACATTCTATGCATTCAAAGTCTCTTAAAAAGCTTTCAAGTTTCCAATTAGCTCAAATGAGTTCCTAATCTTATTAACGAGTGAGTGTTTGGTACAACAAACCCACCTTCCATGTTAATTTCCTTGTCATTTAGTGTTCGTAGTAACAGTGACTCAAGATTCTCATGACGAAAAATTCTCAGTAAAATTCTGGCCAGTAATGTGCGATCCTGGCCACATACTTGGGATAATGCAAGTATCGCATGAAACTCTTTTTGAAGGATAAGCTGAAAGAAATGTATTAATCAAGCAGTTAAAAATTCTATTACAAAACAGTTTACTTTATAGACAATATCCCTATTTCAACAGGAATATATTCTGTAGATTATGTTCTGGTCCAATAATTTGCTGATTATATTCAGTGAAATCAACCAGACTCCAAGATCAGTGTGCCCAACATCCCAGTTCAGCAATTCTTCCTTCCTGTAACACGTCACATTAAATTCTCCTTACGTTTAACCTCAACAACCTTAGTCTCCTACTTGGCTGTTTAAACTAATGCAAACTTCAGGAATAGTATTGTGTTTTCTTAGGAACTCTCAAGCCTTTGGGCTTCAACAATCAATAAGGATCTTTGCCATCCCAGCCTTCTGATTGAAAACAATTCAATTTGTTCATGTCCAATTTAGCTCCCTTGATGTTATTTTTCAAAACTTATTTTTGTCCATTATATTGGGGCTTCTCCTAGTGCATACTTCTTTGTTCAAAAACATTTGAAAGAGAAAGATCACAAGTCAGTTCACTGTCCCAGAGCTGAAGTATACAAAATGGAGTGGTGAAAGTTCAGCAATTCCCTAAAGATGAGTAATTTATTTCAACAGCATGTAAAAGATAAAATAATTTAGAAGCAGGAAAAGTATATTAAGCCTAAACAAACCCATTTTATTTCAACTCCACCCACCTATTTCTTACCATATTGCTTTTTCTGGATCCAGATTTACATTTTGATGGTTTTATTTTGGTAGTTTATTCCACAAGATAATAATAATAATAATAATCCTTGGATTTGATATAGCGCTTCTCACGTCGGGAGGACGTCCCAAAGTGCTTCACAGAACACGCTGTAAAGTGAATTAACTGTATATTTGTGGGCGAACGCGGCAGCCAATTGCGCACAACAATGTCCCACAAACAGTCGTAGATTGAAAATGACCAATTTATTATTGTTTTTGGTTTTTGGAGGGATTATTATTATTAGGCGTGTGGAGTAAGGAAACTTGCCCAAGGTTTCGCCCTGCCTGGAAATGAGCTCAGGTCTCTCACTTGCAAAGCGAGTGCTCTAACCACTGAGCTACAGGACTCCACCGGACTCTTGGTTCCTTGGTATCCTACCGTTCTTAATCCTACTTTTCTCAATATCTAACATGTGTCCCTGGTTCTCTTAGAACCATTTGCGATTTGCTTGCACCAGCTTTATTAATTCACTGAATAATATTTACCCAGAGTAAAATAAAATCTGTTTTCGACCTAATCTGTTTTCCACGTATCTGTTTTGGACCCAGCTCATTTTCTTGAACCTCATTGTAGTGCGATTTCCCATGTCTCAGTAATCAAATTCTAAGTGTACCGCGAAAAACTTATAGGTTGTCAGATCACAGATGTAAACTACTGCACATGTCTGCTATGTGCAGAAAGCAGCTGTGACACCAGCAGTTGTATGCAGTTTAGTCAACTTTTTCCATCCTTAAATGTTGAGATTTTTACCTACAGGTTAGAACATTTAACATGACGTGTCTTTGACTGGAAAAATAGTGCTGTGAACAAAGCAATACCTCTTTGAACTCACTGTACTCGTCTTCCGACATGATTTTTTCCAATGAGTATCGTGCCCTGACACGCACAGAACCAGGCTCAATTCCTTTCAGAGGAATATGTGAACTGAGAGGGAACCATTCATCAATCAGCTGTCCCTTCTGTAACCGACTCAACTGACAACGCATGAACACTGAAAAAAGGAAGGTGAATTCACCCTGTTCAGGTTTTTAATTTTCACTAAACAAAAACAATAAAGTAAACAATTCCTTGCATGATATAGCCCCTATCATCAGAAGGGGCATTTCCCATCTCTTTTTGAACAGCACCATGGGATCTGTAACATTCACCCAAACAAACTGATGTAACCTTGGTTTAACTTCTCATCCGTAGGATGGCACCTCCATCAATGCAGCACACCTCGGCACTGCATTGGAGTGTCAGTATAGACTATAAGTTCCAAGTCCCAAAGTGGAATTAAACCCACAAAATTCTGACTTAGAGGAGAGTGTTATCAACCGAGTCAGACTGATCCACCAATATATCAATCGTTAAAAAAGTTCTGATGGACTATCACAACCAAATAAGTTTAACTTTGCGTTTTCGATACTAATTGAACAGTGCTGTTTTAAATTTCATGATGTAACTTCAGTTATTTATATCTAGTTATGCATCCTAATGTTGCAAGGTGGATGTTCAAAAAAACAGAAACAGAAATGAAGAATGCTATACTTTGATGTGATCCTCCTAATAAGCATTTCAGTTATAACAGTACCTCAAATTTAAGGCTGCTAGACATTGGAATTGTAGTTTTACATTTGAGAGTATCATTACAGCATAAAAGAAAACAAAAATTTTTATCAAGCAAAAACAGCAAATTAAGTGAAATGCAAAATCTCTTCCCAACAATCAGATGTACTTACAGATATCGGGATCTTTGCTTTTCTTTGTTCTGTTACTGAGACTTATCTCAAATCTGTTTATATCTGATGAGAGATCACTAGGGAAATGAAGGCATGAATTATATAAAGGACACTGCATTTGTGACATACTATAATAAATGGTCACTAAGAAAAAACAGAAATGCTTACACCATTTGTAAAATCTATTGCTGGCCCATTTATTCTGAAACTCATCTACCAATAGCATCCTCAATTTTGGCAGCATTGTTGCCTCTGAAGGCAGAGTGACCCACCTCAAAAGATAATATCCTTAGAACCAATCCTATACCACAAAGTTGTAAAATGGGTGTAGATATAGAAATCACCCATTGGCTTCTATGAAGATGGTTTAGCAACATCTTGAGAATAATCAATTGGGTCAAATGAATATATTGTATAATGCAGAAACAAGAGAAACAAAATTATGCCAAACACTGCAACACAACTAAAGGCAGAAAAACTAAAATAACAGTACACTGTACTGTAGAGAATTCTGTACTAACATCATCTACTCCTAAAAGGGTAACTGCATACTTTTAGTTCCCTATTTCACAGCTTTAACAAGCACTGTTTTTCAGGAATACTCAAAAGGCAACTGAAATCATACATTTTCTTTTAAGCTCTCAACTCAAAACTGTAAGAATAGTATCTTATAATTTTCCAGTAAACACTCAATTTAGTTTTTATAGTTAAAAATTCTCAAAGGATATGTTTTCTCACTCTTTAAATTAATTCGAAAGGTTGATGGTGCTCAAGGTAGATAGGTCAACTGGTCTGGATAGAATGCATCGTAGGTTACTGAGGGAATTAAGGGTGGAATAGCGGAGGCTCTGGCCACAATTTTTCAATCCTCCTTAGACACCAGGGTGGTGCCAGAGGACTGGAGGGTAATAAAATGTTACTCCCCTGTACAAAAAGGAGCAGAAGGATAAACCTGGAAACTACAGGCCTAACATCAGTAGTGGGGAAACTTCTAGCGACTATAATCCAGGACAAAATAAATGTTCACTTAGAAAAATATGGGTTAATAAAGGATAGCCAACGCAGAATTGTTAAAGGCAAATCGTATCTAACAAACCTGATAAGAGTTTTTGATGAATAACCGGAGAGGGTGGATGAAGGTAGTGCAATTGATGTAGTTTATATAGATTTTCAAAAGGCGTTTGATAAAGTGTCACATAAGAGATTTCAAAGTAAAATAGAAGCCCACGGTATTAAAGGGACAGTGGCAGCATGGATACAGAACTGGCTGGGAAACAGAAAGCAGATAGTGGTGAATGGTTGTTTTTCTGACTGGAGGGAAGTGTGCAGTGGTGTCCCCAGGGGTCGGTATTGGGAACACTGCTATTTTTGATCTATATAAACCACCTGGACTTCGGTACAGGGAGTACAATTTCCAAGTTTGCAGATGATACTAAGTTAGGAAAAGTAGTAAACAGTGAGCAGGATAGTAGCAAACTGCAAGAGGACATGGACAGACTGGTAACATGGGCAGACACGCGGCAGATGAAGTTTAATGTGGAGAAATGCGAAGTGATGCATTTTGGGAGGAAGAATCAGGAGAGGCAATATAAGCTGATGGTACAATCTTAAAGGGGGTGAAGGGACAGAGAGACCTGGGGGTTCATACAAGTAACTCTCTGAGGCTGGCAGGACAGGCAGATAAAGCTGTTAAAAAAAAACAGGGGATACTAAGCTTTATAAATAGGAGCATAGAATACAAAAGTCACGAAGTTATGATGAACCTTTATAAAACACTGGTTAGGCCTCAGGTAGAGAGAGTACTGTGTTCAGTTCTGGGCATTACATTTTAGGAAAGATGTCAAGGCATTAGAGAGGGTGAAAGGAGATTTAACAGGATGGTACCAGGAATGAGGGACTTCAGTTATCAGGACAGGCTAGAGAGGCTAGGATTATTCCCCTTAGAGAAGAGTAAGAGGTGATTTAATAGAAGTTATAAAAATTATGAGGGGATTCGATGGGGTGAACAAGGAGAAATTATTTCAACTGGCGGTGGGTTGGTAACATGAAGACACTAATTTAAAATAGTTATTTAAAGAAACAGAGGGGAGGTGAGGAGAAATTTTTTCACACAGCGAGTTTTTCGGATCTGGAATGCATTGCCTGAAAGGGTGGTGGAAGCCGATTCGATAACAACTTATAAGAGAGAAGTAGATAATTATTTGGGGAAGACAAGTTTGCAGGGCTATGGGGAGAAAGCGGGGGAGTGGGATTGATTTGGATAGCTCTTTTCAAAGAGGCGGGACCGACGCGATGGGCTGAATGGCTGCCTCCTGTGCTGTATAATTCTATGATTCTAATTTATGCTTGAATTGAAAAAAAATGCAGTTTAAACCAATATTCAGATGTACAATATTAGTAAAAGCAAACTGAATGTTCTTCCAAAACAAAGCAACTCATCATACCAATATATATGAATACTGGCAAAGGAAAATAGGCACTCAGCTGTTCTGCTAACAGCATTGGAAAGTTAATTTATATATGGTGATAAATGAGCACAATTTCAAAATCACACACTTGAAATTTTAACATTATGCAATTGACCCAAATGTCTTAAATTTGAATTACCGCATATTGCTCTGAAACATTTTATCAAATTATCAAATAGTTCCATAACAACTATACAATTTTTAATATTTTAATCTAGTATTTTAATTCCAAAGCCTTCAAAATCGACTACCAGTTGTTAATTTAATCACTGAAAATATTTTGAAACAAAGACTCACTCAAAAATGAATTCTTCTGTCCATACAGGATTTTGCCCCTCTCTAGCATGAGTCTTTGCTACCTGAACGCTGTTCAGATAGATATTACAGTATGGGTGTGTGAAATATTTAACTGGGAGTTTGTGGGCTTCTTCCACATACAAAACCAGACTACTGACCTGAAAATGAGAAAAAAGTTACTTTTATAGTACATTTTACATACAATAATACTTGCATTTGATATAGGGCCTTATCAAGTCTTCGAGACATCTCAAAGCCCTTCACAGATTATACTATAAGTGAATTAGCCGTATAGTTTGGGAGCGAAGGGATTACTCAAAAAGGAACTGCAATTATACATTTCCTTTGAAGTTCTCAATTCAAAACTATAAATTTAGTATTTTATACTTTTCCAGTGAATAGCCTGAATTTAGTTTGCAATGTCTCAATATTACAATGCGGCATGAATTGCAGTTAGTTTGCATTATAACTTTTGATGCAATATAATATTGTGCTGTTCCTTAAGTTTGCATAATAATTTTCAGTCATTGAGCGATCGCTACCAATCCAAATTTATTATAAACATCTGAAAATTTTAAACAGGATCACCATTCATCAATTAATTCACAAATTCATTAATATTTTGTCTAAAATAGATAAAAGTGATACCGCAAACTATTGGTGGTAATCATGAAGCATTTGATAATCAATCTTTAGGACAAGCAAATCGTTTGCTACTTGAGTTTGAAACATCACCAAAACAAAGTTTAAATTAAAAAATAAAAATTCTCTCTGAGTCTAAATGAATGCTATAACATATGAATGTTATACATAATTAAAATTAGCTAGATATTTAGATAGGTAGATGTTAGATAGTTATTAAAATACACGACTACCACTGCCAAGCCAAAGAAAGAATTTAACAAGGATATTGTAGCTGATGAGGTCCTTCACTGAAAAGCAGATTTAACAAGGCTTGAAATATTCTGCTTAATCCCTTTTATTGTATAAAAGCAAACTAACTGTATATAACACAAAAAGTAAACACAGGCTTCAGGAAACAAATTTTTGATGACATTTTAAACCTGAAAAACTGAAAATTCTTGCATTTGATGTAGTACCTTATCATGTCATCTATACGTCTCAAAGCCCTTCACTTTCTAGTTTCAAATAGCTCCATGGAATCGTTAACATCCATCTCAACTGGTAATCAGGGCCTCAGTTTAATGTCTCATCTGAACAATGACACTTGTGGCAAGGCAGTGCTCCTCTTCTGACTTTGAGGTGCAACCAGTACAAACAGAGCCAAGTGACTCCTAAAAATAACTAAATGAATCAATTGTAATACAGGGAATCCTGTATCACCATGAAACACTTTTGAAGCATTTCAAACAGGTGAAGACGCTATTCAAATGCAAGTTCTAACCAAATGCAATGTCAATTAACTTTTTTTCTTTTTCACAGAAAAAAAATGCAACTTAAGACATTTTCTACCTGTCGAAGACGTTTGTTAGAGGCAGGTGCAACAGGTTTCTTTAAGTTACTGCAAAGTGCCTGTAGACACTTCATCCAGTCCTACAAAAACAAAAAAAACTTAAATGCAAGAAATTTCTAGAGACCAAGAATATTTGGGTCACATTGATTTAGGATATTCTCAATTTCCCTGCAAATGTTTATTTACAACTTTTACAATTACAATAAACATTTAAAGATTTTCTTCACCTTTACTGATTTTTTTTGGTATTCAGTATCTACTTACAATACAAAATTGCTGTTAATTAAATATGAATCTAACAATAACTGTACACAAGTTAAGTTTATTAGTACTCTAGGAATAGAATTACCCAAACTTCTGATCATTCCTTGAAAGCATAGTATTTTCCATCTATTAATGGAATGAGACTAGACATCGGGTCAGATATGGGGGGGGGGGCGGAGAAAAATAGCAAAAAGAGAAAATGTCAGCGCCTTTGAAGATGTGCAGTACCGCACCCTTAGGCAAGCTGTAGCAAGAGAAAGGTATTTCACTAACAATCTGGGACAAACAAGAGGAAAACTAAATCTCAGAAACCTTCTGCAAAATGGGTACAAAATAGATTCTGCAAGTAGTGGTGGTTTAGCAGCCAACCTCTGAATCTACTGAATAAACTGCCTAAATAATCTAAAGACAAAGTAACAATTCTGAATTTCTCCACGACCATTTCCCACTGTTGATAACACAGGGCTACTGTGGCCAGAACATTTTCCAGTTCAAGGCATTCCTAAACATCCTTTCAAACTAAACAGGGTACCTCAGTTTTTTTTTAACCCACATATGGCTATCTACTTCCATTTGGCTGTAAGACAACAACAAAATTATATTTGTACAGCGCCTTTCACATCAGGAGTATATCCCAAGGCGCTGGACAATCAGTATTTCGGACCCGAGCTGGCGGTCGGGGTCGGAACGTTAACTCATTTTCCACTCTCCATGGATACTGTCTGACCTGCTGTGTATTCTAAGAGACTTCTGTGTTTATACCGGATTTCCAGCATCTGCAGTACTTTGCCCTGTCTTCCCCCCCCATACAGAATATTGCTTAAAAAGTTATTGGTACAGTTCTTACAATGGAAAGGATTTGAAGCTTCAAAGATGAAAACTAGTTCTAATGATAATAATCCTTGCATTTGATACAGTGCGTTATTACGTCGTCGAGACGTCTCAAGACTACCCTCCTTGGGTGGGAGGGAGATAAATGAGGTCTCCGTGGAGCTGAACTGGCTCCAAAATGACATGCCTTGCAACAGAATGACAGAATCGAGCCAGCTCTCTGTCGTGAGTGTCTGATTCCTGAGCCAGGTGGGTCCGCAGTATTCCAGGGCACTGCTGATGACAGCACACACAGCCTGGCTCATCAGCAGGACTTTGAAGTGCAGACCAATCACTGGGGGCAGGGAGTCATCCCATTCAGCTCCTGTTAACTCTGCACACCAAAGCCCTGACCGGTAGGGTGGGCAAGCAACAGAAAAATGTGCCAGACAGCGATATCAATGGCAAGCTATGCGGTTTTAGCTGGTTAGACTCCAGCAGTACCCCAACGCACACTTTGCGGTTGCCATGCCCTGGCTCTTGCCAACCTGCGCCTAATACTTTTCGGAATTAGGTATGCAGGGTGTGTCCCTCCAGGAAGAGAAGGCGCACTCCATTCCAACAATCTATCTCTAGGATTTCCATGTGTAGGTAGCATGCATGGAAATCTCAGCTTGGTGATGGGTTTCCAGATGTGTCAGACCCCTGTTGACCAATTTTTTTCAAAAAAATTGAGACATCTCAAAGCGTTTCACAGGATATACTGCAAAGTGGGTTGCCTGCGTATTTTGTGGGTAAAATGCGATAGCCAGTTGCACACAGTAATGTCCCACAAACAACCATGGAGTGGAGCGAGTGACCAATTTTATCTTTATGAAAACTATCCACATTCATGGTAAAGATTCACAACTTCAGTACATTGGATAGCATTGGGTAGGACAGAATCAACATGAGCAGAAGTTTTCCATCATCTACCCTGCACACAGTATATTGCACGGTGTGCCTATACAAGCATTCATCAGAAGTACTGTGGAATTTGCAGTCAATCAACTCTTCTTACAATAGTTACTGACATACATTCCTCCAAAACTGCTTTGTTTGTAACTGGAGAAAGGATGGGAGGACACAACCCCTGGAAGTCGATTGCAATTCAAAACAATGAATAATGTTGAGCCTGATGGGATTCTAGAGCTATCACATTTAATCAGATGCTATATATTATTCATCTGAGGCTGAAGGATGAGATGTGCTTGGGGATAGGGATCACTTGCCTCACAAAGGGTGACCTGCTTTAGAGTACTGATCCCATTGTGGCTGTCTGATTTAATTAGATTTGTATCTTACATGTATTTTTTCTCCAGTGCAATAAAGGCTCAATTAAGAAAATGAATCACCTTTAAATTAAGACTAAAGTTACTAAGTTCCTGACTTCATCAGATAAACTTGTTGGGAGAGAAACATTCAGTGCCTTTTCAGCATGCCCACAGTAAATAAGAGCTTTCCAATAGATACTACTGACTGAGAAATGTGACCATCTATAGCAGTTTGGTTAATTCAGTCTTCATAATTATATGCACCCAAGGAATTTCTATGACAAAACAGTTACCTGTGCTTGCTCAGGAGTTTCACCAGCAAAGTAGAAGATGTAATGCTCTTCACTAAAGTGCTGTACAACTATCTGAAAACAGTTTGGCCTATAAAGAGAAAATTACAGGAAACTAATCAGTCCATGAGAATGCAGGGGAGGGGGAAATGGAAAAGGAAGTATATCAGTGGAAAGAAGCAAACCAGAATTTAATATTTGAGATGGATAATTATTTTGAAGCGTTTGCTTGTTTATCTTCAGGATTAGGAGCATTTACTCAGAGTCTGTATAGATTTTTATGTGGTTTGTGAGAAGAGCCAGCTTTCTGGGCCAAATTGCCCTTTCCCATGCTTTCCAGGTGATGAAGTAAAAAACACTTGTTATGTCTGAACGTGGAAAGTGGCAGATGGATAGTTCCAAGCATGCTCAATTTCAAAATGCATGGTCAGAAGATCCTTATGAAGAATGGATAACAATTGATAAGTTAGGACAGCAAAAACAGGCATTACAAATATGATTTAATGAACTCATGCCCTGCACGAATAATTGGGGGGAAAAAGAAGCTGAAAATCAAATGCTGTACCTCAACAGGTTCTTAAAAATGGCAAATTACTTTAATATACAAAAAGATTCAAACATCTAAATATTCTTACCTGCCGAACAGACTCTCGTGAACTTCATATACAGTACAAACACTGAGGTCTATTAATCCTTTTGGTTTTGTGGCTCTCTTTTCACTTTCAAAATAGATCAGCTGGGAGTCATTCCCCTCCAAAATAAAGTACAAGTTTTTCCATCGCTTACCTTTGCCTGTAAGAGATGATATTCTGAAAATGTTTGTACCACCTAAATGAGAACTACAATGAAGAATAGCTTAAGGAGAATATTGAATAAGTGCATATTCATTTTTAAAAAATTAAAAAAGGATAATTACAATATAAAGGTGGTTACATTATTAATATCCAGTAGATTATAGCAAGAGTGATTTTACTTTTAAAAAGTACCCAATAAATTGCGCAAGCATAAAAAAAGTCAAATAATTCAATTCTCAAAATGTGGTATGTATTTAGGAAACAAGATCTGTTCAGAAAACTATACAATTTCCAAATGACAAATAGAACAGCAGTTCTATTTTTTTATGATCCAAAAAACATTAAATTAAATTTTATTTTGAATGGAGGAACATTTTATCTGTTCAGTCAAGGCTTGAACCTTGTAAATGTTAAACAATGGTTATCCTCAATGTTTTTTTTAATAAAAAAATCCAATAGTGCAATACACATATATCAACCTAAGAACAATAAATTCAACGACAGAAAATATTATTCTTACTCTTTTTCCAAAGGTATCCATTCTTCACTACATTTTTATAAAATGCATCCTTTGGCTTGCGCCGAATTGTGTTGTATATTTCTATTCCATCAACCAAATCATTGAGTACTTGTTCTTGGTGCTAAAAAAAAAGTCACATCATTCCATCACTAAACAATTTTATTATGTACAGAAAGCTACAAAAGTTAAAATAAAAGAATCTCCAGCTAGAATCAAAAATTCTAAATGTCTCAAAGAGTTTTACGAAAGTAGAGCCCAAGCTGGGAGGCAGATAGGGAGTATGAAAGGAAATAGCTGAAGGTCCAGTTGAAGAGAGAAGTTTTTAAGGTTATTCGTGAAAGCAGAGAGGGAGGAAGCCAGGTGAATGAATTTCGGAATGGAGTTCCTGAAAGTGCAGAATCAATTTGTTGGGGATCACAGGGGTAGGATGGGCAAGGGCATGGAGGCATTTAGAGGCAAGGATAAGGATCTTCAAATAGATTCACTGGGAGAGGGAGATTGTGGTGGCGGGCAATTGAGGGGTAATGGGTTCATGGAACCTAGTGCGTGACACGAGATAAACAGGGGAGTTCTGGATGATCGATCTGGAGCTTATGGAGGGTAGACTGAGGAAGCAGGACATTGGAGAAGTTGTGTTTGGAGATGACAAATATGTGGATAATGGTTTCTGCTAGATTGGGGGTATGCAATGTTGTGGGAACAGAGTAAAGCAAACTTGGTCAGAACCCGGATGAAAAACTTAAACATGAATTGAGGGTCAAACAAAATGCTGTCAGGCTCAATGAGTTGGAGTGAGAAACTGGGTAAGTTGATTCAGTCTATGTTAGAGGCTGAGCAGGTTGGCCTCAGGTCCGTCAATGTTTAGTTGTAAAACGTTGGGACTCTTTGATGACTTGAAATCTGTCAGAACAACAGTGGGTTTGGAGTTGAGGGTTTTGGCAGAAAGGTATTGCATCAATTTATCAACTTGATAAACTCAGTTATTAATGCTGCAAAAAATTATTTGTAGTATTGGTAAACTATTCTTCAAAAGATTTCCGTAGACTCTTTACTTACCTGTACAGGGACAGGGTCTTTGAGGAAATAACCCTCAACGATCTGTTCCTTCCTATAGTGCTCAATGATTTCCTCTATGCTGCAATAAAATGTACAAAGTCCAAATCAACCTTTTGCAAAAAAAGTTTCATTATTTTTTATGGCACTTTTTTTTAAATAAGACACGAAGAAAATTAATTTGATCAATATAATAGACTGGTTTGGAAAATGTTGATGCTGCTGTCAAATTAAGGTGCAAAATGTCAAACTTTAGTGAAATGGTTGAAAACAAATGATTCAATAATAATGACTCAGAGTAACTAATGTGATATTGTGCCAGTAAGTCAGCAGACAAACAGGAATCCCACTTTTGAAAGTAGATTACTGGGTTAATGCGAGATGCTCTTGATATACAATGCTGATGCTAACAAGTTACAATTTGAGTGAATTCTATTGTGAATTTGTTACTTTCTCAAGCCCAATACTAGCAGATTGCATTTTGAAGGTATTGCAGTATTTTTTTAAAATATATTCAAACCATCAGGCTTCCATCTTTCTGAAAACAAATCATACTCAGAAAAGAGGATATTTGTACAAGATGAACACATGAAATTTATGCAAAGGTTCCAGTTTCAATATTTACACCCAAGAAGCATGTACATTTTTTAAAAAAATAACCTTGAGCACGATTTAGTGCATGACATGAAATTAGGAGAAATGATCCAGAAAACAATTTGTCTCTTGAAATCACTTCAAAGAATCAAAAGAAAACCTAATCTGCTAAGTGTCAGATTACATTTTATAGTTGATCAAAACAAGTATGGCTTCTAAATTGACGACTTCTCGAACTAGGATAAAGGGTTCAAAGCAAGTGAAGGGATCATAATCTCTCATCAAGATTTGAGACCACACAATAGACTGCAGTCTCAAATCTGTATAGTACTTATATTTTCTAAAACAAATTCTAGTGAGAAGAAAGATATTTCATACTGATGCATATTAACTAGTTTCTGTAATATAATAATTGGAGAACAAACATTTTAGGTTAAAATGTATTATGAGATATGAATGAACTTATTGTTGACATTTCCTACAAAAAACACAAACGGCACTTAGCACTAAAATGAAAAATGTAAATTGGGGTGACAACTGGAAAATGTACAATTCAGCTTTTTTTTAGAAAAAGGGCATTAGTATGAAATCTGGAGAATATACAATTGTACCACTACATGTGAAGTGATATTTGCTGCAAGAACCACAAGATGGTGCTAAACGCTTATAAGCAAAGATTTTTGTTCATGAGATCACTAAAAATTACATATAATCCAAAAAAAGGGCATCAATACTCAAAGTGACAAACTAAGCAATCAATTCTTTGCAATTTTGTACTCCAAAGGGCATAAATAAACCAATGATACACTGGCAATTGCCATTTAAAAACTATTAATTGTAGTATTTTAAACGGGATGAAGACATCAGAAAGACAGAATCAACTACCTACAACAAACTTATTTTCTTTCTCGCTGTTCCCTCACCTTTCAAGGTCTGACTCAGGACTTTCCTCTTTGACTACACCTTCGGTCATCTTCCCTTTCTCCAACCCACTGCCCCTCCCCCAAATCCAACACTCGTTTTAATAACAATGATACTAATCCTTGTATTTGATATAGCGCCTCATCACATCTTCGAGACGTCTAAAAGTGCTTCACAGAATATACTGTAAAGTGAATTGACTGTATATTTTGTTGGGCGAAACACGAAAGCCAATTGCACACAGCAGTGTCCCAAAAAACAGTCGTGGATTGAGTGACCAATTTTTTTTTGAAGGAATTATTACCCCCAGAAAAGAGATCCACCAATCGACTAACAATCGGGTTCCTACTTACTGCTAGGTAAAGAGGTGTTTGGAGTAAGGAAACTTGCCCAACGTTTTGCCCTTCCGGGAATCAAACCCAGGTCTCTCACTTGTGAGGCGAGTGCTCTAACAACTGAGCTACAGGACTCCTCGCTTTGGTGCAAGCTCTCCACTGTCTAGCGTCTTAGAACTTCCTCCCAAAGTAAAAGATGCTATATAAATTTAAAAATGTTATTGATTGAAAACATCTTTCATATATAAAAAAAATTAGAAACTGTCATAAAAATCACATTTAGAGTGCCTTCCGCAACATTCAGTTACTGTGCATTATAGGCTGCTGTCTTACAGGAATCATGAAAATCTAGAAAGCCAGAACAGAAAATGTACAAGTTATGAAAATTATTTTTCATGTACAACTTTACAATGGAAAAGTTTTAAAAACAGGTTGGACAAATCAATTTTCTGGGTTAGTTTTCATAAAGTTTTACTCTCGTATTTGTTTCAACGTGAGCCTTTTAAAGGTCTCCTCTGTAGAACAGTATGATCATATTTGAGGCATTGGGGAGAATGAAATGATGCACAATACAGCAGTGTTCAGTGGAACTGTTGGAAGTAACATTTGATTCAATTTAAAAATGTCCAACAAATAAATGGCTTCTCTGTTGGTTTTAAAGTAAAGGTAAATTGAAGCAGAAATAGAATAGCAGCACTAAGTCAATATGAATGAGTTCTGTATCCACATTTGGAAACGAGAAGGCAAAATCCCCAATCGCTTAAAAACACTGTCCAAATAACTGGATAAAGCAACTGGATGGCATGTTACTGAGATTGGAGATGATCAGCAACAAAATTCAAAAGCATGCTCCTAATTTGGATCAGGGAATAAAGGCAATCTTTGAGGAGAGGTTTTGTATGAAAGCAAGAGACTAAGAAAGTGAATATCAGCAACACTGAATACTGATTATGATAAGTATGACACAATAGGTAAATTTACTTTAGTTTCTATGTTGTTCAGATTACTGCAAATTTGCTACATCTCAAATTGAATACAAAATTGGTATTGACTACATTTAATGACGCACCAAGAAACTGAGTGTGCGTGTGAAAACTCCATGAGCTAGGAAATCAATCAATCAATCACTCTCTCTCCCTATCCATTTATTTATTGTGGGAAGGGATTATTACCCTCAGAAAGCAATCTGCCAATTGACTAAAACCTTACAGCATATCCTGTGAAGCACTTACAGTCCATCTAAAAGTTCTTTTGGAATTAAGTTCAATGTAGATGTAGATGCAAAAGTCACGATTCTTCAAACAGTTTTAAAAGTGAAAAATCACATTATGAGCTGCAATACCTGGAGTTCTGACCAAACCTCAGCTGCTAGAACATTGATCAAAGTCACTGTAAAGAACCAAGTGTCTGAAGTCAATACATCTTCATTACAGTTGTCAGAATGACACAGATCAAGAGAGATGGGAATAAGGACGTGCTTGGAAGTCTGTTGTCCAACTAGTTGCACAATGAGATTTAATTGGAATCAGAGAGACATCGACATCTTGGGTAGTGTGGTGGCATTAAGCAGTGGAAAACAAACAAAGTCATAACATTAAAGGTTCAATTCACATTCCTTTCAGTTAATTTTGAATTTGAGCAAAGCTAGGCAAAAAAAATGTAAAATGTGGTACCTTAGCAACTATAAAAACAGCCAAAAGGAAGGTGTTTCAAGCAGTGCTGAATGTGACCCAAATGCCTGGGTAATGATTGGATGTGGAGACGTCCTGGTTACTTCACCAGTACACAATGACCAACGGTGGACCTTTGCTGACATTCTCAGAAGCTATTAGCTGTTCTAATAAACTGTTATTTCAGTGGCCTTTTCCCTGAAAGTTCACAACGGAAAGCTCAACTATTTATTTTCTCAAACTGGCACGCTCTTTGTAATTTGGCCTTCCTATCCAAAGTGCTGCTGCCATTCAGTCACAGTTTATCCCATTCCTCCTTTGAGTCTCTTCAATCAAAAAAATGGTTAATCATTAATATCTACAAATATTAGCTTCCATTTATTTACCACCACCCAAGTTTACATCTCAAGAACAACAAATTAAATTTGTATAGCGCCTTTCATGTTGGGAGGACATCCCAAGGCGCAGATACCACTCTCTGCTACTTCTCTAAATTTCAAGACTTGCTCTTCTATTTCAGATGAGCTACAATATTCTCCCGTTCAATATCAGCAAAACAGAAACCTTTTGGTTTGTATTAAATGTCGTGGTTATTCTTCAGATCAAACCAGTGACTCACAAACGTTGGAATATTGTTCAATCCAAGCACCAGCTTTGCCTCAGGAATATTATTTGCTTACACCTCTACTTCACCATCATTGCGCTTGGAACTCTTAGACAAGCAGGAATATGGGATTAGAGTGGACAGTTCCAATGGGGAGGGGTTTTTACAGTAGGGAAATAATGAACCGAATGACCTCTCGATTCTATTTGTATCAAAAGCACAATTTGGAAAATTAATTAACATCTCTTACCTGTTGTAATACCGGCCACCCATCATGAACTGATTGTTAGAGGTTGGACATACTTTAAATCGTTGAATATTTTCATTTGTCCTAAAGTAAAGCGAGTAGTCACCCGGTGTGTTATCTGAAGGTCTTACAAGAAAACTGCATATTTGGCCAACTAAAAAAAAAGGGAAAAAGCTAATTAACAATTATTTTAATATAATACAGCAATGGAATGTTTAGTGGAAGCAGTCGCAGCATGGTGCAGATAGCTGGAACCTGTTATAACACAGTGGTACTATGATCTCACAGTACATCGAAAGCGCAGTATGCTTTCCGGCACTAACTGGTTAGCTTCCTGTGCATAGCAAAAAGGAAGTGATATCGGGATGGCCGTATCCCATTATAAAGCCAATTATATTATAAAACTAGGGTCAGACCACAACTACAGTGTACATAATATGCACTTTTGCACTAAACTACACCACAGCCAGAGGAGCAAATGCATAGTGCATTTACACATTGCAAACGTGAGTAGCACGTGAATAAAACATGGCAACACAATAGCATGTACAGTACATGAGTCAGAACACTGGATAGAGCTGAAGGTGCAAATTTTAAAAAACAGGATTATTTTACATGCAATAAACTTTAGAAGCTGAAATGAATTTCTTCAAAATAATTCTTCAAAACCACATCGGGAGCATAGCTCTAGAAAAGTAGCCTAGTTTTTGCTACAAATTAGTTTGTTAAAGTTGCTGCACTCTATCCAAATTTGAGAGCATCATTACAAATCTTGCAATTTCAAATTTGAGAGCATCACACTGCCAATTTTGAAAGCATAACACTACTATGCCGTATATATGTGGGAGATTAAGTGAAAACGAATCACAGAACTTTAAGAGTTTTATCAAGGCAGCAACTAAACACATTTCTGCATAATTTCCTTATGTACAAAATAAATAGTAAATCTAGGCATTCAAAATCCACAATATGTTTTTCATGCTGAAGGAAGAATTAATGGTTAGTGATATTTTTTAAATTTTACTTGGCTGAGATTGCCTTTTCATTCAACCCCTCATTGAAAAAAATCTATTTTTGAAGGATGAAGTATATCACCTTTTATTTTATATCACAACAGCTATCATCTTTAAGAAATTTTCGGCTGATATGGAGCTCATAAATGCACACTGAAATGTTGTAATTGTATTATGAATTGTGTCTCATCATGTATTGTGCAGAAATATTAAGCAATACAGATGGAATGCATGGACGGAACAGTTGGCCAAATATGGAGAGGACAGATTTTTGACTGAACAAAGACAACCAAATTAACAGAAAGTGCATTATAGAAGCACAGTATTGTAATTCCATATAAATAATGTACATCAGAAGCAATGGATCACTACCTGTCATCAGCAGATTATAGGCTTCTTGCTTTGATATCTTCCCATGGAACCATCTGAAAATAAATGAATAGACCTGTTTTCATGTAGAGACTTACAACATGCAGAGAAAAGATGTTCATCTATGACAGATCTCATAGACCACAAGTAAAAACATTTATTAAAAACTTTTCTGCATCTACAATTTACTTAAGTTTATCTTTTCTTTTAAAAATGTCAGAGGCAATGCCTTTAAAATACCCAATAAAACCAAAACATGAGGAGATGGGTAGGTTAGTGATTTTTTAAAAAAATTTCCTTCTACTCCTTCTGAATTTTGTTTAATATGTAGTGCAACGTGGTATTACGAAAAATTGTGAAAATTCTTACATTTTGCCTTCATGTGGATCTTCTTCACGGTCCTGTAAAACAATCCAGATTGGATATTCAAACAATATTAATGAAAACAGACAGATTTTTTGTGAGAATCGTAAAAAGCTAGACAGGTGCTCCATCTTACACCTATCTCATTTGCAAAATTATTTAGTAAATAAAAATATCTATTAGATACGAACTGCACATTTAATATTTAGTACAGGTACAATATCCAATTTGCAGGTTCAATGTAAATTATTGATTAAAGCTTGATCAACATTCTTTAAAGCACAATTAACTTCTCATGTCAACCTCAACACGCCAAAGCATTCATTCTAATGACATCTCCAACATTCTGGCTGGCTCCTAAAACTATTTGCATCTCGAACAAAAGTATCTTTGTTGAATCATTTCTGCTCACCATAATTACTGAATGAAAAATAAATAAACATAAATAATTCACTGATTATACTGGAGTGTTTCCCCAGTACTTTTCCCAAGAATGAGCATGGACAGCAGATGTCATTGAGACACTGAGCTGTATCAGTCAATCTTGATCCTCTTACCAAGCATCTGCACAAATGTACTTTTCCAAGACACTTGGAAAGAGAAGAAAAGCGGTGGCCAAAAGTGTGCTCAAAAAGGTGGGTTTTCAAAGAAGGGGTAGGAGGAGAAAAGGCAGAGAGTTTGGGATGGAATACAAAGAGCAGGGCTTTGGGCCTGTGGGCTTGCCAACTGATGGACTGAGCTCGAAGCTGGGATGTAAGGTTACAAGAGATAAGAGTCAGGCTGTGGAGGGATCTGAAAGTGAGGGCAAGGAGGGTGAAAGGACAAGAGCTGCAGAGGCTGAATGGTATAAGGATTTTGAGCACAGTTAGGAGAACAAGACAAGACACCAAGGTCCGTGGGGTGGAGTGAGCATTCACGCAGGTTGATGAGGTCAATGCATTAGGTTGACTAACCAAGGCCTTATTAACATAGGTTTATTGCTGACAAATGTTCTAACTCATAATACTCAAGCTGAAGTACAAAATATATTTTTCAAGTTACCGCAAATTTTGCCAATGTTGCTGAACAGTAAAGTTCAATACTTATGAATAAGCTGCTGAACGCACATGGCTTAAATCAAACTTAACAGTCCATCGGCAGATCTGGCTGGACCTTATCAAATCTTATTGTTCCGCCCTCGCCTCTGCTAAATCGTCGTTCTATTCCGAGACAATCTTGGAGGCCAAGGACAACCCCAGGCTCCTCTTCTCCATCACGAACCAGCTCCTTCGCCCCCCGTCTCACGCCTCGCTCATCCTCCCATTAAATGCCAACTACGAGGCGATACTGGACTTCCTTGAAACCTAAGTTGAGGGGATCCACTCAGCTGCCTCTGCCATTCCACCTGCTAGCCCCTCCCCATATCCCCCCTACCCATCCCTCCCTCCACACCTTTGAACCCTTCTCCCACTCCTCTCTCATCACCACTACAAATCGCATGAAACTGACCACCTGCTCCTCCGACCCTATCCCTACCCCTCTCCTTACCTCGCAGCTCCCCCTCCTTTGCCCCTTTACTCAGACGCCATAAGCCTCTCCCTGTCCACTGCTACTGTTCCTACCCCATTAAAAACTGCCGTCATCACTCCTATCCTTAAAAAAAACTCTCCCTGGACCCATCTCTACTCCCAAACTACTGCCCCATCTCCAACATCCCTTTCCTCTCCAAGGTCCTGAAAAGAGTTGTTACTTCTCAGCTTCGTTCCTTCTTCTCTCACCACTCTCTTCACAAACCCCTCCAATCGGGTTTCCGTGCAGCTACAGTACAAAAACAGCCCTGGTCTGAGTGACAATTGAAATTCTGTCCATCTGCGACCAGGGCTCCTTCTACCTCCTCGTCCTCCTTGACCTCTCTGCTGCCTTCGACACTGTTAACCACTCTATCCTCATCCACCGCCTCTCCTCCCAATCTTCACGGTTCTGTCCTTGATTGGTTCAGATCATACCTTTTACACTGCCTCCACTTCATCTCCATGAATGGTTTCTCCTCTAGTATCCGCTCCATCTCGTGCGGTGGTGCCCTCCTCTTCAATTTTTTTTGCTCCCTCTTGGTGATATAATCCGAAGACATGAGGTCAACTTCCACATGTATGCGGATGACACCAACTGTACCTCTCTGCCTCCACCCTCGACTCCAGGACCACTGCTGTCCTGACAGAATGTCTGTCAGACATCAAGTCCTGGATGAGAGCTAACCTTCTTCAGTTAAACGTCAACAAGACCGAGGCCTTCCCGATTGGCTCCCATCAGTGCCTCCTCACCTCAGGCGCTAACAGCATCACCATCCATGGTTGCACACTCCACCTTCCTAAGCCAGTCCAGAACCTTGGCATCTTGTTTGACTTTCAACTGTCCTTTCTACCTCATATCTGCACCATGACCGGCTCTGCCTTCCCCCACCTCTGCAACATCACCCGGCTCCGCCACCATCTCACACTGCAGGCCGCCAAAACCCTCATACATGCTTTCATTACATCGAAGCTTGACTATACAAATTCATTGCTTGTCAGCCTCCCCAACTCCTCCCTCCATAGACTGCAGATCATCCAGAAGTCTGGAGTCTGTATCCTCTCCCGCACCATGCTCCGTGACCCTATCACCCCCATCCTCACCTGACTCCCCTGGCTTCCCATCACACAGAGGATACAGTTCAAGATCCCGGTCCTCACCTTCAAAGCCCTCCATAGTCTTTGTCCCCCCACCTCTGCGACCTTCTAACCCCTTACCATCCTGTTCGCTCCTTCCACTCAGCGGCTCCAGCCTGCTTCACATCCCCCGCCTCGCTCGCCCCACTATTGGTGGGCGGACCTTCCGTCACTCTGCCCCCATCCTCTGGAACTCCATCTCGTAGTCCTCGCCCCTCCCTTGCCTCCTTCAAGACCCATCTCAAGACTCTTCTTTGACCGTGCTTTCAATCTCCCTGCTTCCTCCCCTGCTCTCTACTCTTCCTGATCCCAACCCCCAGCTCGGGTCCGAAACTCTGTCTGTCCAAGGCCTTGGGACGTCCTCCTGACGTAAAAGGCACTATACAAATGTAATTTTGTTGTTGTTGTTGAATTCTCACATTTCTGAAAGTTTTAAAACTTTAACGATAGTAAGTGAAGAAAACAGTCACTAATATTTTCAGGTAAGCCACTATCCATCTTCACAAATAATTACACTTTAAAAAGCATTCAGCTTATCCTCTCACCACTTCCTCCACAAGGTCCTCTACAATGAGGCCTTGCTCATCGGTTCGGAGATTGGTCACCCACATCCATCCATCGTCCAGTTCATTGTGAACAATAAACATATCCCCCTTTAGGAAACTGAACAAAGAGAATGCCTTATTTTATTACTTAAAGCCATAATCAGTAAAGATAAAAACATTTTCAAATTAACTGTAGAGCAGTGGCAATTACAAGGCCTCTTGGGGCAACCTAAAGTATTGATCTGGATTTAATTTTTCGTCTCAGTTAAAATTTTTATAAATCTCCATGAAGGCCCATTCTGAGTCATCTTCTCTCAAGACTGAAGATACCTAGCTTGTCTAATGATTGCTCATAGCCAGGGCCAATAGAAAATTGCAGAAATCTTTGCCGAAAATTGCGGGGAGTTAATTGGTGTTATTGAGGTACATTTTACTGCCAACCTACATATATTTCACTTTATTGACAAAAACATTACATGAGGAATTTACACATATTAGATTGTTACAAAAAAATTATGAATGCTTTCTTCAGCAAAAACAGTGTGGACCACTTTGGTGTGGGAGTGGGGTATGCGGGGGAATGACACCAACCAAGGCCCGAAGTACCCAATACCCACACACTACACTTGAAGGTCTGGAGATCCGCCAACACCAACATTGTTTGCCAAGCTCCCATATCCTGATTGCTGCAGTCCTCTCGGGGTCCACCACCGCATACAAACCCAGAGAGAGAGAGAGAGAAAGAGAGAGACAGACAGACACTTCACAGACAAAGACACACACACACGCAGAGAAAGACACACCCACACAAAAAGAGAGGCACATACTCACACACAGAGGGAGAGAGAGACGCACAACAACAACTTGCATTTATATAGTACCCCTCACACAGGGCAGTGCCCCAAAGTTTAAGAGACAGAGAGAGAAAGAAATACACAGAGCGAGAGAGCCACACACAAACTCAGACAAACATACCAGATACAAAGACACATTCACACAGGCACTTAAACACACACCAACAACGAGCACATATAACGCCATCCACGCAGGGCAGCTTCTCAGAGTACTTAACAGTCGAGGAGCCTGATTCCGAGTCGGAGAGTGTGGAGGGAACCGCAACCTCCAATGGTGGGGCGGAGGGTTGATGGGAAAGAGTTAGGAGACCGGTGCCAGTCAAACGAGGCGCCAGGTGGTGGATTGGAGTGAGATCGGACAAGGAGGTGTCAGAGAGTGAAGGGATTTGAACACAAGTGTGAGGATCTTGAAGTCGATCCGTTCAGTGATGGGGAGCCAGTGGAGCCTGGTCAGAACTGGTGAGATGCGAGTACGGAGTTTGGTCCAGGCAAGTATCCAGGCAGCAGAGTTCTGAATGAACTGGATCTTTTGAACAGTGGAGCTGGGGAGACCGACGAGGAGTGTGTTTGAGTAATCCAAGCGGGAGGTGACAAACGCAGGCATGAGGGTTTCGGCTGCATTTGGGGTAAGGTATAATCGGAGGCAGGCTATGTGGCGCAGGAAGAAGGCGGTCCTGGTCAGGGACCGGATTGGGGGAAGAATGACAGCTAAAGGTCGAACCAGATGCCTGGATTGCGCACTGGTTCGTTCAGTGTGAGCCCAGGGAGGTTGAGGGGTTTAGATCCGCAGCAGTGAAGAAGTTGATGGGAGTCGAGGAGTATTTGTCCACATTCAGCTGCAGGAAGTATGCACTCATTCAGACCCTGATGTCTGCCAGACAAGCTGATAGAACATCAGCGGGGGCGGGAGGAGAAACCATTTGCTGAGATGAAAAGGAGGCGGTTGGATAAGAAGGACTCGAACCAAGCGAGTGCGGTCCCACTAAGGTGGATGAGGGAAGATGCGGTGGAGGAGGATGGCGTGGTTGATTATGTCGAACGTGGCAGAGAATTCCAGGAGGACAAGGAGGCAGAGGGAGCCCTGGACACAGATAGAGAGAATGTCGTTTGTGACTTTGACAAACGCTGTCTCTATGATGTGGGCAGGGCGAAAACTAGACTGCAGCAGCTCGAGGAGGGAGAGGGTGTGACCGAAGTTGGCCTGCAACCATCTTTTGAATAGTGGAGCTGGGAGAGGAGTGAGTTTGACCACACACATTCCCACCCCCCCCAAGACAACAACAAAATTACATTTGTATAGCGCCTTTCACGTCAGGAGGACATCCCAAGGCGCTGGACAGACGAGTTTCGGACCCAAGCTGGGGGTCGGTGTCGGTGAGCATGGAGGGCAGGGGGAGAAGCAGAGAGATTGAAAGCACAGTCGAAGAGGAGGGTCTTGAAGGAGGCAATGGAGGGGGCGAGGCAGAGTGACTGCGGGATGGAGTTCCATAAGGTGGGGGCAGAGTGGCAGAAGGCCCGCCTGCCAATGGTGGAGCGAGCGAGGCGGGGGATGTGAAGCAGGCCGGAGCCTACTGAATGGAGGGAGCGAGCGGGATGGTAGGGGGTTAGAAGGTCGCAGAAATGGGGGGAGCCAAAATCATGGAAGTTTTTGAAGGTGAGGACCAGGATCTTGAATTGTGTCCTCTGTGTGATAGGAAGCCAGTGGAGTTGGGCAAGGATGGGGGTGATAGGGTCACGGAGCCGGGTGCTGGAGAGGACATGAGCTGCAGAGTTCTGAATGATCTGCAGCCTGTGGAGGGAGGAGTTGGGGAGGTCAACAAGCAATGAGTTTGCATAGTCAAGCCTCGATGTAATGAAAGCATGTATGAGGGTTTCGGGGGCCTGTAATAATAATAATCCTTGCATTTGATATAGCGCTTTTCACGTCGGGAGGATGTCCCAAAGCGCTTCACAGAACACACTGTAAAGTGAATTGACTGTATATTTGTGGGCGAACGCGGCAGCCAATTGCGCACAGCAATGTCCCACAAACAGTCGTAGATTGAAAATGACCAATTTATTATTGTTTTTAGTTTTTGGAGGGATTATTATTAGGCGTGTGGAGTAAGGAAACTTGCCCAAGGTTTCGCCCTGCCTGGAATTGAACTCAGGTCTCTCGCTTGCAAAGCGAGTGCTCTAACCACTGAGCTACAGGACTCCAGAGTCCTGTAGCTCAGTGGTTAGAGCACAGTGTAGTGTGAGACAGTGGTGGAGCCGGGCGATGTTGCAGGAGAAGGCAATGCCAGTCATGGTGCAGATGTGAGGTAGAAAGGATAGTTGAGTCAAACAAGGCGCCAAGGTTCCGGACTGGCTTAGCAAGGTGGAGTGAGCAACCAAGGATGGTGATGCTGTCAGCGTCTGAGGTGAGGAGCTGCTGGCAGGAGCCAATCAGGAGGGCCTTGGTTTTGTTGACTTTCAACTGAAGAAAGTTAGCTCTCATCCGGGACTTGATGTCTGGAAAACATTCTGTCAGGACAGCAGTGGTCCTGGAGTCAAGGGTGGAGGTAGAGAGGTAGAGTTGGATGTCATTTGCTTACATGTGGAAGTTGACCCCATATCTGCGGACGTTGTCACCAAGAGGGAGCATATAGATATTGAAGAGGAGGGGACCAAGAACAGAGCCCTGAGGAACGCCGCATGAGATGGTGCAGGGGCTAGAAGATAAACCGTTTGTGGAGATGAGGTGAGAGGTAAGACCTGAATCAGTCAAGGACAGAGCCGTGAATGAGGAGAGTGGTCGACGGTGTCAAAGGCAGCAGACGTCAAGGACACACATACAGAGGAGAGACACAAACAATCTCAACAGTGGGGCCTCGGAGTGGATCAAGGCCAATTTCCTGCTCGCGCCGTGGATCATCCTTGTTATTCTCCTCTCCATCGCAACCCTTTTGTTGCGGTGACTGGTACTGTATGCAGCACTCATGCTGTGCTGACCAAAGCACTATACAGTCTGAGTATGATGTCTGGGAATCTACACTCAATCGATTTAGCAATATATCCCAGCATCCTGTTTGCGGCTACCTCACATTGTTTTGAATAGTGACCGACAAGTCAAATAACAAGTGCTGGGCAGGGGGGCACTGCACTAAAGGAGAAGCAATGCTTTAGATGAGACGTTAAACCGAAATCTGCAATGCATGTTCAGGTAGACATTAAAAAACCTATGACAATATTCGAAAAGAGAAGGGAGTTTCTCTCTGCATCTTGACCAACAATTCTGCATATAAAATTTGTCATACACTTCATGGCTATTAGTGTACACAAATGGGCTACCATGTTTGCCTACAAATATATAGGTTACTACATTTTATAGTAAATTCTGTGAAACAGACATTGACGTAATAAGGTGACAATCAAAATGAATTTTTATTGGACATTGTGAAGAACATTTATTCAAAGAATAAATCTGAAATGCATTGAAATCTAACATCTTACCTAATTTCATCTGTATCTGGCACTTTGGTGTACGGCAGGATAGCTCGGACTCTCCTCCTGTCCTCAACGGGCTGTAATTTCGACAGAGATAGAAATTATTTGAGTGTATAACATTGAATCTCAAAGAAAACTTTAAGTAAAATTTGAAACAATTAACTCTTCCTACAGAAGATAATTGTTTAATTTAACAAATCATTATTTGTATTTATTTTCCCTTGTATAGGAGCAGGTGGCGCAAATAGTGCCGAACTTCTTATGAACAGACGCAAAAGGAACATGGTTATTTTGTCCAATGTGGACATATCATCAAACTAAAACATTCTTTCATGCATCCTTCCAGAATAATGCTATCCTTTCAGTATCATAACAGTAAAATACACAAACAGGAGGACTTAACGGTTACATTTTTAAAAGGCTTCATATATAGTTACTATTATCCTGGGGTGGGGGAGTAACAAAGGTAAGCCAGGTCCTCTTGGGTTTGAGGTGGCTCCAACATTATGTCCTTAGACATGGAATGTTAGAATCAAGACTATGGCAGTCCTGACTTGTTGCCAAGACTTGGGAGGGACAGACAGCTCTTGGCTCCTAATGGTCCAAGGTGGATAAACAGCAGGAAGCTTGCCACACAGTGCTCTCAATTGGAAGCTATGTGGTTTTAGCTGCTTAAACTCCAGCAGTAGCCTAAGGCACACGTTGGAGTCCAAGGCTTTGGCTCTCATCAACCTATGCCTAATATGTTCTGGAATTAAGCAAGCATGTGTCCTCCAGAGAGTGCACGTTCCATTCGAGACAGAGACATTTCTATGTGTAGGTGGCATGCACATATGGAATGGTGTCTGGTAAGCATGGGTTTTCGCATGTGTGGAAAGACAGTAGTCAGACACACCATATTTCAGACACCTAGTTATCTAAAAAATGGTAAAGAAACAGAGGGCGGGTGTATTTTTAGAAGTAAAGCACGGAGGATAATGTGTTGCCAATTCACATGCAAATCCAAATATTCAGAGCTGTTGGGGGAAAATAAAAGAGACCGAAGGCACGGTCAAAGAGATGACCTTGAAAGAGGTGAGGGAAGGGGCAAAGTGAAGGGACTCCAGGATGGAGTTCCAGAGAATGGGGGCAGATAAGCAGAAAGTCCAACTGTAGATGGTGGGGCAGGCAGGATGGGGACGTGAAGCAGGCTATACCTGCTAAGTGGAGGGAGCAGACGGGTTGGCCGAGTAAATGAAGGATGAAGTGGTCAATTGTGTCGATGTACATACCACATATTGCTAAACAAATTAAGGCAGTAACTAGAGTGAAACCAATCAAGTCACAATTATAAGACTTGTGTTAAGATTTAATTAAGGTTTCATTACAGAATATAGTAACAGAATTGTTACATCAAGTTGTTTTTTCAATCTTAGCCACAGACCCACATTTTAAGATTTTGCATAATCAACACTAATACATAAAACTTGTTACTGGTCTGATACCAATATTTCTAATAACCACTTATCCACGTACCTCTGGAGGTGCTACCGGAAATAATAGTTTCTCCCCCTTTAGCAAGCAAGACACATGACTGTAGTAACCTATCAGGTCTGAAAGTGAGGAAAACCGTCGTCCACCAATGTAATAATCACCACACATTGCAATAATCCTAGAGCAATCAGAGCAACAGAATAAGCAAAAAAATGTACCTAAAATAATTAAAGTAACTAATAGTGCCACTTCACTTAATACGAATTCTAAACCAACACAAGTTAATGCACCATTGATAACATATTTGTCCCAATACATTCAGGGATTTAAGAGGCATGACCGCACAATACAATTCACTTGCAATGAACATTAATATTCAACAGGTACTTTCGATTAACTTTTACTTTGTATAATGTAATGACCCTATAAAGGTGGAGAGCGTGCAAAGGAGATTTATCAGAATGGTACCAGGGACGAGGTACTTTAGATATGTGAAGCTCAGATTGTTCTCCTTTGAGCAGAGAAGATTAAAGAGAGATTTAATAGGGGTGTTCAAAATTATGAAGGGTTTTGATAGAGGAGATAGGGAGAAACTGTTTCCATGAGCTGGTGGGTCAGTAACTAGGGCACATAGATTTAAGATAATTGGCAAAAGAACCAGAGGGGAGATGAGAAGAATTTTTTTTATATACAGAGTTGTTACGGTCTGGAATGCACTGCCTGAAAGGGTAGTGGAAACAGATTCAACAACAACTTTCAAACAGGAATTATATAGATACTTGAAAAGGAAAACAATGCAGGGGTATGGGGAAAGAGTGTGACTGATAGGGTAGCTCTTCCAATGAACCAGCAAATAAACGATGGGCCGAATGGCGTCCTTCTGTGCTGTAATATTCCATGAAAGATTATCCATTTTTTTTCCCTTTAATGAAGGTACATGAATTATGTTATCTACGTGTAATGTAAAGAGCATGTTCTGATCTTCAAACAATCTTTTGCTCTTCATACTAAACTTTACTCTGAGACTTGTAAGCAAAATAGAAGCCCACGGTATTAAAGGGACAGTGGCAGCATGGATACAGAACTGGCTGGGAAACAGAAAGCAGAGAGTGGTGGTGAACGGTTGTTTTTATGACTGGAGGGAAGCGTGCAGTAGTGTCCCCGAGGAGCCAGTATTGGGACCACTACTGTTTTTGATCTATATAAATGACCTGGACTTGGGTATAGGGGGTACAATTTCCAAATTTGTAGATGATACCAAGATAGGAAAAGTAATAAACTGTGAGGAGGATAGTAGCAGACTTCAAATGGACAGAGACAGACTGGTAAAATGGGCACACAAGTGGCAGATGAAATTTAATGTGGAGAAATGTGTAGTGATGCATTTTGGGAGGAAGAATCGAGAGGCAATATAAGCTGATGGTACAATCTTAAAGGAAGTGAAGAAAGAGACCTGGGAGTTCATATAAGTAAATCTTTGAAGGTGGCAGGACAGGCAGATAAAGCTGTTGAAAAAGCATACAGAATGCTAGGCTTTATAAATAACGGCATAGAATACAAAAGTCAGGAAGTTTATAAAACACTGGTTAGGCCTCAGCTAGAGTAATGTGTTCAGTTCTGGCCACCACACTTTGGGAAGGATGTCAAGGCAATGGAGAGGGTGCAAAGGAGATTTTTCAGGATAGTACCAGGAATGAGGGACTTAATTTATCAGGATAATAGAGAAGCTAGGTTTATTCTCCTTTGAGCAGAAAAGGTTAAGAGGAGACTTAATGGAAGTTTTAAAAATTATGAGGGGATTCGATAGGGCGAACAAGGAGAAACTGTTTCCACTGACGGGTAGGTTTGGTAACCCCAGGGCACCGACTTAAAATTGTTGTTAAAACAGAGGGGAGGTGAGGAGAAATTTTTTCACACAGCAAATTGTTCGGATCTGGAATGCATTGCCTGAAAGGGTGGTGGAAGCTGAGTTGATAACTTAAGAGAGAAGTAGATAATTATTTGGGGAGGACAAATTTGCAGGGCTACGGGGAGAGAGCGGGGGAGTGGAATTGAATTAGATAGCTCTTTTGAAAGAGCCAGCACAGACACGATGGGCCGAATGGCCTCCTTCTGTGCTCCTTAAATCTATGATTCTACAGCATATCATGTGAAGTCCTGTAGCTCAGTGGTTAGAGCACTTGCCTTAAGTGTGAGATCTGGGTTCAATTCTTGGCAGGGTGAAACCTTGGGCAAGTTTCCTTGCTCCACACGCCTGATAATAATCCCCAAGAAAGAAAAACTAATAAAATTGGTCACTTCAATCCACGATTGTTTGTGGGACACTGCTGTGCGCAATTGGCTGCTGTGTATGTTCCGCCCACAAATATACAGTTAACTCACTTTACAGTATATTCTGTGAAGCACTTTGAGGCATCTTAGAAGGCATGAAAAGCACTATATCAAATGCAAGGATTATTATTATTATTTATTATTCTATGATTCTATGAAGAATGTAGCAACAGTAAAGTTTTTCTCTCTAATTAAGAAGCTGTTCGGATAGTCAATGGGCAGAGAATTCCTCAACTTGCACAATGTAGTTTCATTATCATACTGCAAACTGAAAATGTTTTTTTAAAACAGCCAAATAGCTTACAGTGCCATTTACAAACATCTCAAAGTACTTAGTAAACTCAGCAGTGGTCACCAAGCAAGAAGTGTGAGACGATATTAAAAAGTAAGAATGAGGATATTAAAATAATCCCAAGGAGCAAGCCAGTAAAATTTAGTCTGTTTCGGGGTTATAGGAATGCAGGATATGACATTACATGCATGGAAATTTCTGTAATGTAATGGAGTACATACTCTTCCCCAGAAGGAGAAATGTGGATATAGGAATGCAAGCAAAGAACATTGGAGAAAATCTAGGAGGCAACCATGATATGGATTAGCCCACCATGCTGAAGGCAGATATGCAATGCATAGCTGATGATGGAACACACCACCACAGAGGATTGACTCCATTCCGAAGGCACGTTACCTTCAAGCCAGCTCAACCCAACCCTGTGGATAATCATTTGTTGGCCATTTGACCTTACACTCTTTCTCCACATTTTAAAAAAAATGTGGAGAAAGAGTGGATAAGGAGAACAGGGACTCATCAAAAACAGATCTATGTATCTCAGTAGTGAAAAAAGACATAGCTAAATAGTTGCATAACATTCTATTCGAAGAGGAATTTGGCTACAATCTTCACAGTGGAAAATGATCGGATTGTAGAAATACAGGGAATACGAGAGGTTGGTGAATTGGACCAGGTTTGGTCAGACGGCAAACAATTTGATACGAGAGAGCCCTCACTAGGTGAGTAGCAGATATGAAAGACAGTAAAGAAAGGAACATTCACAGAAATAAAGGCGGTAAATTTAGCAAAAGTGAAGGAAACTAATAGCACATCTGATAATGCAACACTTACTTTCATTCTGTCTTTGAACTCAGCCTCTATAAATACTATAATGCAATTAAACGGACATCTAGTGACTGGTGGTTTCCGAGAGCCACCTGGTTGACTTCCCCTATGGTCTCTGATTAGCAACTATCAAAGTTTAGCAAGATCAGACTGGAAACTTGCCACATAGCATAGCATCGGATTCTAGTCCAAGAGATAATTACTACATCACAAAACCTATTAAAGCAGAGATTCTAATTCTGGTGTGAAGCAACCATAATTAAATATCGTTACCGCAGGTATCAAACAGAGAAAATGACCTTTTTTAAAATTAATAGTAAGGGACAGTGGCAGGCAGATTGGGTTGAAAATAGAACGCAACATAACACTCCAAGAAAATATGGTAGGCAAAGAGGAAATTAAAATCTTTGCAATTAACATTAAGAATAATAGTAAACTTTTTTTAAAAAAATGTGGAGAAAGAGTGGATAAGGAGAACATGGACTCATCAAAAACAGATCTATGTATCTCAGTAGTGAAAAAACATAGCTAAACAGTTTCATAACATTCTATTCAAAGAGGAATTTGGCTACAATCTTCAGTGGAAAATGATCTGATTGTAGAGATACAGGGAATACGAGAGGTTGGTGAATTGGACAAATTCAGAAGATAGAGAAAAAAGTGTAAGGGTTTAAACTGGTGGGAATGAAATCAGATAGAATCAAGGCCCAGATAATTTATTGACTTTAATACCCTAAGGTAGAAACTAAGAAACTGTGGATCTATTCATTACATTCTTGCAAAGCTGTCTGATGTCAGGAGTTATACTAAAAGATTGGAAGGTAGCAAGTGTGATGCCATTATTCAAGAACAGAGGAAGGGACAAAACAAGTAATTATAAGCAAGTGAGTCTAACATCAGTTGAGGGTAAATGACAAAAAACCATCATTAGTTTGCTTCACAGCAGAATTGCAATCTTTCATGGGTTTTGTACTGGACTCTTGAATAGAATCCACTCCATCAGCATGTGGCTATATCAATGTCTGAATTTTCAGAAAGCATTTTATAATGTACATAAGAGATTATCATCAGAAGACACAAGGAATTGGAGGTAATTCATAGAATCATAGAATTATACAGCACGGAAGGAGGCCATTTGGCCCATAGTGTCTGTGCTGGCTCTTTGGAAGGAGCTATCCAATTCAATCCCACTCCCCCACTTCCATAGCCACGCAAACTTGTCCTCCCAAAATAATTACATGACGATAGAAAATTGTTTAGGAAGCAGAGAGTTGGGATAAGTGGGATATTTTCTGATTTGCATGCAGTGACAAATGACATGTCCCAGTATCTATGCTGAGGCCAGGCTTTTCACACTATATACAAATGACCAAATAGAGGTGTAGGAATGGGTAAATCCAAATTCCCTGACACTAAACTAGGAAGTGTATTAAATTGTGGAGAACAGAAAATTGCAAAGAGGCATAAACATATTAAGTTAGTGAATGCAACTATAAGTGGATCTTAATAGCCAAAAAATTTGCATGCAGTATTTTAGAACTGTTATATTTAAAATATTGAACTACTAACCTGAAATGATTGACAACACCAGTTTTACTCAGAAAGGAGAGTACAAATGAGCCTGGTCTTCGATCACTTTCCCTGATCAGATAACTACCAGGCCGTTCTGCCTGGCATAGCCGCTCTTCAGCAATTGTACGATCCAGTTTTCCATGATACCACCTGAAAATGTAAAATTGGTACCGTATTTACAATATAACAAACAATATGAGCACCTCACTCCATTAAGATAAATGATAAAAGGTTCAATTCTGTACATCAATTTTTGCAGCTGATCTTTTTTAAATAAATCCAAAGGTCACTAGAAAGATCAATACATATTGTACCTTCCTGGTTAACAATACATTTAAATGTAGTCCTGACTAAATTCTATTTGTATTTTGTGAGCAAAGGTTCTTTACTCTAAATTATTGCTACAATATCTCTACATGATTTATCACAAACACCACCGTAATGTCTTCCCAGACACAGAAAAGACAACTGTTATACTATGCATTCATCTCTAAAGAAAATACAACAATAACAACATGCATCGCCCTTCACACGGAACAGTGTCTCAGAGCAATTAAGCTTCAAGCAATATTTTAAAAAAGTATAGATTATCTATTGCAGCCATAACCTTTTGTAAAGTTCAACATTTATATAAAGGATATTATGGTTACCTTATTGGAGATGATGGAAGAAAGAAAAATTTTGTTTTAAAAAAAACGTTCAGCTGGTAGTACCCTTGATGGAGTAGTGGGTAGAACTACATTTTACAGACCATGAGCTTGCCGGTTCAATCTCACTGGGCAAACTATGTGGTTTTAGCTCGTCAGACTCCGGCATTACCCCAACCCACACCCTGGGATCCCCAAGCCTTGGGTCTTGCCAACCTGCTTTCCGGATTGGATAAGCAGAATGCGTCCCTCCAGGGAGACTGTGCACTCCATTTAAATAATTTGTCTCTGGAATCTCCACATGTAGGTGGGATACATGGAATGCTGCTTGGTTTGGATACTCCTATGCATGGTGATAGGTTTCTGCATGTGTCAGACACCAGGCTGACCAAAAAAAATCTCACTCGGTGCTGAGTTTGCTGGCACAAACCAGGGCTGAAGGGGAAATTTTTGGCCCTGGTACCCACGGTTAGAGAGGATAAAACCAGTAGTTGTTCCCGCTTCTCACCCCCTTTCAGCAATTTCTATCAGCGGCTGAGTCGGGAGAGTCTATGACACCCTCTGCAGTCAAGTGGACTGTTGGCACTTACACATAGACTGGAGGGCAGCCAACACTCATGGAACTATACCCCAGCATGAAGAAGCAGGAAGGTACACAAGGGAGAAAATTCAGAATCAATTACACACTAAATTGTAATAACAATAATCCTTGCATTTGATATAGAGCCTTTTCACATCTTCGAGACGTCTCAAAGTGCTTCAAAGATTATATAGTAAAGTGAATTGATTGGATTCACATCCCACCGCCTGTATTCCAGCACCTTGGGACATCCTCCCAACGTGAAAGGCGCTTTACAAATGTAATTTTGTATTGTATATTTCATGAGCAAAACAGGGAAGCCAATTGCACACAGCATTGTCCCACAAACAGTCGTGGATTGAGTGACCAATTTTTTTATATGAAGTAATTATTACCCCCGGAAAAGTGATCCGCGAATCGACTAACATCCAGGTTCCTACTTACTGCGAGGTAAACAGAGGAGTGTTTGTGGAGCAATACAGCTTCACAGATGGGCAGAGAATCTGGAGAAAGCCTTGGACAGGGAGGAAAGAGATATGCACCCCATATGAAAATGGGGTGGTTAATAACTATGCACCCCATTTTCACATGGCCCTACACTTCTTCCCCTCAAAGATTGAAAACATCCACTTAGCTGCATCGTCCTCCACCTCCCCCACCACATCCCTTTCCACCCCACCAGACCATCCACACCGCTTTCTCCCTCCGCCATAGCTCCTGCCATTTCCTCCTCCTTACACGCCTTTGCCCCCATTTCTCCCTCCTCCCCCTTAACCACAATGAAGTTCACCACCTACTGCCTTGAATCCCTCCCCACTCAACTGCTGGTCACTCAACTCCCCTTCTCTCCCCACTGCTGAACCAGTCTGTCTCCTCGGCTCTGTTCCACTCCCCCTGAAAACTGCTGTTATCAACAACAACAAGATTCCATTTACAGAGCGCCTTTCACGTCGGGAGGACGTCCCAAGGCGCTGTACAGTTGGGTCAGGACCCGAGCAGGGGGGAAATGGTCAGGGTGAGGGGAGGGAAGGGAGGGAGCGAGGAGGGGGTAGAGAGTCGAGAGGGAAGCTGAAGGCACGGTCAAAGAGAAAGGTCTTGAGACCGGCCTTGAAGGAGGAAAGGGAGGAGGCGGCGAAGGCACTGGGGGATAGAGTTCCAGAGCCTCGGGGCTGAGAGGCTGAAGGCCCGGCCACCGATGGTCAGGCGGTTGGGGCGGGGGATGTGGATCAGACTGGAGAAGGGGAATGGAGGGTACGGGCAGATAAGTAGGGGGATAGTAGGTCAGAGAGGTAGGAGGGAGCAAGGCCGTGAATGGCCTTGTAGGTGAGGATGAGGATCTTGAATTCGATCCTCTGGGGGATGGGGAGCCAGTGGAGGCGAGCGAGGGTGGGAGTGATGTGGTCGCGAAGCCTGGTGCGGGACAGTACACGAGCTGCAGAGTTCTGAATGACCTGCAGCTTGTGGAGGGAGGTGCCGGGAAGGCCGGCGAGGAGAGAGTTCCCATAGTCCAGCCTTGAGGTGATAAAGGCGTGGACCAGAGTTTCAGCAGCGTGAGGGGTGAGGTAGTGCCGTAGTCTGGCGACATTCCGGAGGTGATGGAAGGCGGTGCCAGTTGTGGTGCGGATATGAGGGAGAAAGGACAGCTCAGGGTCGAACAGAACACCGAGGTTCCTGATTGGCTTTGAGAGGTGGAGAGTGCAGCCTTGGATGCTGATGGTGTCAGCGCCTGAGGTGCGGAGGCGCTGACGTGAGCCAATCAGGAGGGCCTCAGTTTTGCACGTTGAGCTGAAGAAAGTTGTCTCTCGTCCAGGACTCGATGTCGGACAGGCAGCTGTCAGGACATCGGTGGTGGTGGAGTTGAGGGTAGAGGAGGAAAGGTAGAGTTGGGTGTCATCCGCATACATGTGGAAGTTAACCCCATGTCTGCGGATGATGTCACCAAGGGGGAGCATATAGAGGGTGAAGAGGAGGGGACCGAGGACAGAGCCCTGAGGGACACCACACGAGACAGTGCGGGGGCTGGAGGAAAAGCCGTTCGTGGAAACAAAGTGAAGACGGTGGGAGAGGTACGACCTAAACCACTCAAGGACAGGGCCTTGAAGGTTGAGGTGGGAGGACAAGCGGTGGAGGAGGATAGCGTGGTCGACCGTATCGAATGCTGCCGATAGGTCGAGGAGGACGAGGAGGCAGAGGGAACCCTGGTCACAGATGGTCAGGATGTCATTGGTGACCTTGACCAGGGCAGTTTCTGTGCTATGGGCAGCACGGAAACCCGACTGAAGGGGTTCGAATAATGAATGGGTGGAGAGGAAAGAGCGCAGCTGGGAGGCGACAACTCGTTCAAGGACCTTGGACAGGAAGGGGAGGTTGGAGATGGGCCGGTAGCTTGATAGCTGCGACGCATCAAGGGAGGGTTTTTTCAAGGTGGGAGTGATGGTGGCAGTTTTTAAGGGAATGGGAACAGAGCCAGAGGAGAGGGACAGGTTGACGATGTCTGTGATATGTGGGGCAAGGAGGTGGAGCTGGGAGATAAGGAGTGGAGTGGGGATGGGGTCAAGGGAGCAGGTGGTGGGTTTCAGGGATAGGATGAGTTTGGTGACAGAGGGTGGGGAAACGGGTACGAAAGTGTGTAGGGGAGGATGGGTAGGAGTCGGAGTGTGGGAGTGAGGGTTGGGGTGTGGGTGGATGTTGGAGGGAAGTGACCGCGGAGTGGATTCCCTTGATTTTGGATTCAAGGAAATCCAGCATCTCCTCACAGTGAAGGTTGGAGGAGATGACCTGTGCGGGGTGGCGGGGGGGACGGAGGAGTCGGGATGTGGTAGAAAACAGTAGCCTGGGGTTGTTCTTCGCCTCCAGGATTATCCTGGAGTAGAAGGACGACTTGGCCGAGGCTAGAGTGGAGCGGTAGATTTTGAGGAGGTCCAGCCAGATTTGTCGGTGGACCGTTAGGCCAGATTTGACGCAGGTGCGTTCAGCGGCCCGCACCTGGCTCTTCAGTGAGCGGAGGTGGGTGGTGAACCAGGGGGAGGAGCGAGAGTAGGAGACAGTACGGGAGGTGATGGGGGCAAGAGTGTCAAGTGTGGAGGAGAGGGTGTTGTGGAGGAGGGTGAGAGGAGAAGAGGGGTCAGTGAGGGTTGAAGGCCAGAGGGAGAGGAGTTCAGAGGACTCCAAGGCAGCGGTTAGGGATTGTGGGGGTAACTTCTTCCAGGGGCGGTAGAAGATGGTGGTGGGTCTGGTGGAGGTGGGGAGGGGGGTGGAGGTGGTGAAGGAGATGAAGTGCTGATCAGAGACGGCCTTGTCGGTGATAGTGACATTCGAGACACTGAGGCCCCGGGTGATCACCAAGTCGAGTGGGTGGCCGTGACTGTGAGTAGGAGAGTTGATGTGGAGGGAGAGGTTGAGTGAGGAGAGCAGGGAAGAGAAGTCTGAGGAGATGGAGCAGGAGGGGGTGAAGTGCAGGTTGAAGTCGCCCAGGATGACGATCAGAGCAGAGGCAGAGAGATGTAAGAAGTGTCAAAATATCGGAAATGAAGGCGGGAGAGGTTTTTGGGGGCCGGTAGAGGAGGAGGATTTGGAGTGAGAGGGTGAGGTGCTTGAAAGAGGGGAAAGAGCCAGAGGAGCAGGGGGATAGGGCAAGTGGTGTCCTTGAGATAAGGGCTACACCACCGCCACGGCGGTTGGGGCAAGGTGTGGCCTCCGTGAGGGGAAAGGTGTCGCCTGGGGTGAGCCAGGTTTCCGTTAAGGCCATGATGTCAATGCTCTCATCAAGGGGTATCATACCCCTATGCAAAAAAAAAAAAACACTCTCTGTCCCTCTTAATCTCTCTCACTACCATCTCCAACCTACCCTTCCTTGCCAAAGCCCTGGAACACATTGTTGCAGGTCAACTTCGGTCTCACACCTCTCCCTCCACTCCCTCCTC